AGGGAAATAAAGGGCAAAACTCTGAGGAAGGGACACCTAACCCAAAGGCTGACAGGAAAGTAGCCAGCTGAGGGGGACGGGAGAGGAGTGTGAGTGCTTGGAGGCACTAAGGAAGGCAGGTGGGGCTGGAGCACAGGAGGGAGCAGAACAATCCGAGAACTCATCCCAAGTGAGGCAGGCTTTGTGGGTTCTGCTAAAAACTGGGTGTTTTGTGTGTGTTTTTTGTTTTTTTTTAAAGAACTGCTTTTAGCCTTCTGTGCAAAATGGCACCCATATTTTACTAGCCCCACAATTAAAGAATCAGTAAGGCTTTCAAAGACCAGAAGACTGAACTAATTTCAGAATAAGGTGTGAGCATGGTGACACCCTGTGTTCATTTGGAGTAACAGCTACCAGAATGAAGCTTTTTTCTCCCTATCTAAAGAAAATTAAAGATAGGTGGGAAAGCATCCTTTATGCACTCAGCCCATTCTTAGGAACTTTATTTTTCCTGTAGTTGGTCTCCACCTTTCCAAGTACAACTTTATAAAAAAAGAATGTCAGTTCAATTCACTGGACCTGAGAAGTAGGGCCAGCAATGAATTCTTTCAACCACCAAGCCTTAGTGTTCTCATCGGTGAAATTAGAAGTTTGGACTGTGTACTGCCCGGGTTCTTTTCAATTCTAAATCCCAGCAGCCTGTGATTTGAATTGGAGATCTGGATTCTAGTCTTGCCTTTGGTTTTGGTGGTCCAGTCATTGACCTTCATTCAGTCTCAAGGTCATGGAAGAGGTGAGGGATAGGATTCAGTGCTAAGTCAGTTTTTAGCTACTTTAAACATATAACTTTCAAAATTTTCACCCAACTTCGCAGGCTCGGCAGTCACCATTGCAACTTATCTAAGTCGCTGGCAGCCCCACACGTGGCTCTCAGGCTGGTGCAGCTTCCATTGCACTGACCCCAAAAGATAGGGCATGAGTGACAAGGGCCAATCAGAAACCAGAGAAGAAAGATTGACATGAAACCACGGGTGCAACTTGGGCTTTCAGACACCACCTCATCCAGCAGGACTGGGAACTATCTTTGCCTTAATGAGGATACTCAGACTTTACCTGCGGTGGATGAGGGCCTCTGAATACCTTGAAGTCCCTGAGACTTATTAGTCTCTGAATTTCTGATCTCCTGGCCCACTCTGGGACATCAAAATAGGTCACATTTACTGGGTATTGAGTATATGGCAGGCAGTGTTTAAAACACTTTATATGCATTAACTCGTTTAATCTTCATTACAACACTCCCTGGAGGTAATTATTCTCCCTACCTTGCACTTAAAGAAATCTGGCAGCGGATTTCCTTATAATTAGTGTCAGTACGGTAGGGAGAGTAATAACTGGTCTGAGACCACACAGCTCCTAAAAGGGATTCCAGGCCAGGTGGCCAGCTCTGCAGCCTGGGCTCTTGGCCGCCCTCCAATGCCCCCACACTACAGCTGCTGCAGAGTATGTGCTCAATGCATACATGTTGAACGAATCAATGTTGTATAAATGTTTTAATGAGTAAAAATAAAACTCACTTCAGACCCCACTGAGGAACAGCCCTGGGCTCCAGACTCCTCTAGCACCTACCTCCCCCTGTTTTTATTTATTTATTTTTTTCCTGAATCCTAAGTGATTCTCGGCCAGCAGCTTTATCTCAGGCCCCTGGGAGTTTTTCCCCTCCATGTCTACAGAGCACTATTGGCTTCTTGAAGAGTGAGTCTCTCCCACAGCCTCAACCCTGCCCGTTCAGACTTCACCAGTTCCTTCTTTAACTGGTAACAAGTGCCCTAGGGTCTGGGTCAGTGGGCCTTGTGTGATACTGTCCAGCATCAACCTTTTGTGAAAGCCTCTACGTTCTGCTTAGCCCGTGAACCAGGAACTCAGGATGGGCTAGACAAGATACCTCAATTCTCCACCAAAAGTGAGTTTTGCCTCAAATGGCATGTCCACACAGCACTCTCATCTTCTCCATCCACTTCTCTGAAGCAGGTCCCATCTCCACTTCAGCAGGACTCCTGTGGTCTCAGAGGGATCTGGTTCCCCGTGGACAACTGGGTGGAAGCTGCACAGCATTCTCTTTATGATCTAATCTCCAAGGTTGCACAGTGTCACTTCTCACTCTGCCACATACCATTAGTGAGTCACCAAGATTGGCCCAGACTCAAGGGAAGAAACCATTCAATAACACAGTTTAAGAATTTGCAAAAACACTTCAAAACCAACATTCCCACTCAAGTGGAGTCGTCTTAAAGTTAAGTCTTACAATGATCGGACACTCAGAACTAGCAGTTGATGTTTTAGTAAAGCAAGAAACCTCTCATCATGTCCCTCGTGTACTTATCCTCTATAACCTATCCTTGGAAATTGTACGGTAGTTTGTCAGGTGGAACAAGATTGGTAGAAATGTCAGGAGAGGGGGCAGCCACAACAAACTGTTTCATTCCCAAAGAAAGTTCCTTTTTTTTTAGGCACATAGCAGCCAAACTGTACACATAGAAGCATCATTATTTGTTTAGTGCCAACTATGGGAAGAAAACAAGAAGTGTGGTTAGACAGGAGAGCAAGGAGAGCTTCATAGATGTCAGGGAGGTAAGGCACCATTCTAAAACTTGGGCTTCCACTGGGATGGGAGCCGTGAGGGTTGTGTACAGAAATGGCATGATCTGAGTTGTGTGTTGAGATCCAGCTGGCAGGGCAGAGGCAAGCTCAGGAAGACTGGTTAGGAGGCTACTAGAACAATCCAGTTGACGGTGGAAGGACTGGGCCATGGTTAACGGTAGTCGAATGGTGACAAGTGTTCCGGAATACATTTGAAGGTAGGCTTGTGCCTGCAAGCTTGCTTGTTTTCAGCTTGCAACTTGGGATTCATTTGATAGATTAACAGATGTGACTCCTGAAGCAAGAGATGTAAGCGGGCATATCTGACGTTAAAATACAAGAAATGGCCAGGGCCGGTTTGGCTCAGTGGATGGAGCGTTGGTCTGCGGACTGGGGGGTCCCAGGTTCGATTCCGGTCAAGGGCGTGTGCACTGGTTGCGGGCACGTCCCCCATGGTGGTTATGCGGGAGGCAGCTGGTAGGTGTTTCTCTCTCATCGATGTTTTTAGCTCTCTGTCCCTCTCCTTCCTCTCTGTGAAAAATCAATAAAATATATATTTAAAAAAAAATACAAGAAATGCAAAAGTACATTAATAACTTGGAAATAAAGCCCAGCATTACTTATGTAAAGAATTATTTTTACACAAGTAAATCCAGAAGAGAACAAATTTCGGTTTGGCCATATGCTTTTACCTCTCCCTTTCTTCCTCTTTTTAGTACCACATGGGGTAATTCAACCAGATGTTCCTACTTATTTATAGAAGTTGCTCCCCAATGAGTTCCTCTGACTCCAGGTAACAGCTCAATGAAGTGCACATAACACAACATGTTTGCATATTCAGCCTTATGTGACATTGTCAAAGAATGGGAAGAACATCCCTAGGTGTGCTCTCCAATCTGTTGAATCAATAAATGAAACACCGAAAAGATTTAGAGAATCAAAGGGCTAATGAAGCTTTTAAGAATTGAGGTCTTGTGTGAAGGGCATTGAGGATATAGACATAGAGGCTGGTCCCTGCCTCACAGAGCTTCAGACTAGAACCAGAGCTGGTTAGCAGGTCATTACCAGGCACCTTTCAAGTCTCATGAGGTGAGTCAAATCACAGTAGTGGGTCCAGAAGAATGGTTTACATAAAAACGTGCAATTGTTCAAATTCAATTTCCCTGTCTATGGCTTAAGCCTTAAGGTATCTTGAATTCAACAAAATGCAATCAGGTAAATCTTGTCATAACAGAATTAAGTGAAAAAATTCACAGCTATGGAAATATCTAATTGTTTTCCATTCTCTTACCAAAACTTAATATCACATTTATTTAATAAGGGAATACCTGTAATTCTGAAATATTAACATCATGTGACTGTTTTGTGACTTTATTAGTTGGATTTGATTTTCATGATAGAGTCTACAAGCTATTTATTGGCTATTCTTTAATAATATAGGAATAGGTGACAATCCCTGTTATGAAGTTAGATTTAGGTAATAGTTTCTTACTAGCTAAGAGTGTTACAAGTTTAACAGTCATACTTTAGAAGAGTGATTTCCTAAGTTATTTCAAATAATTAGCTTGATTTTGGGATGGTTCTATATTCTTTTCTGCACATTACTGTTAACCTAGTTCAGATAAAAATAAAATTCATTTTCTAAAATAAATTTTTTAACAGCTATAAAGTGACTTAAAAGTGTCATAAAATACAGATTAGGTTCACTGCTCTTTAGAATGCATGGGACATGAAATGATTGGAGTTATGTCATCACAAAAGCCACTTATCAGTGCAACCAGGTTTTCAAAAAATCTTTTTTTTTATAATTTTTGGTATTTATTTATTTTCAGTTTCTTTTTATTATAACAAACATATTATTTTGAGGATAAGAAAAAATAAAGCTTATCTCTTTAATAGTGTAGTAAACAGCCATTCTGGTTTCCAAATCAACCTGTTATCAGGTAAGCCAAGAATCAATTCTAGGTCACTGTTTATTGACAAAACAGCTGTGAGGGGAGACCGGGCACAGATCTGGCGTCTCTTCATAGCTCCTTGCAGGCTGAGAGCCTGAACGTGCTGAGCCACTTGACCCCAGGGCTTCACAAACTCCAAAAGAGACACCACCACCTGCCTCCCTTACGTAACACATACATACCAGCACAGTAAAGCAGGTGGTATGAAGGTGTGTGCTTCAAGCCAGACAGACGGAAAGTCAGACAGGACCTTCTTGGTTTTCTCTTCTGTAAATGGGGACAGTGATGACTGGCTGAAGTGTTGCCAGACTGAATAACAAAGTCGGCAGAGCATGCAGCACACCAAGGGTGCTAACCACGTGGCAGCTACTATTATTGCCTTGTGTCCAGATCAAACAACAAAAGCTAAATTAAGCAAGAGAGTTACGGGCAAGGAATATTTTATTGTACACATTTTCTCAAAAAAACCACAAAAACAGAACCCACAAATAGGAGCAAAGGACAAAGTTTTCTAGCTCTCTGGGATCCGTAGGGCACCATATCTTATAGAAACATAGCTGGTACGGGGACAAAATGTACTAATCAACATTGCCCTGCCTCCCCAGTCAAAAAGGCTATAGAGAAAAACACTTTAAATGGGATATTCTAATGTAAATTTGTCACACAATTAAATTTCAACTTACTCAAAGAGTTACTGTATAATAAACTGCAGAAATAGAGTAAGCATTCAGTAATCTGCTCACAATGAATAAATATAGCATGCTTACTTATTTGTTAGGCCTCACATGTACAATGAGGAGATGGTTTGTCATTAATAGTAACTGGTTTCTTACATTTTAAGGGACACCAAATCCAGTAATGGAAGTAGAAACTAATTTTTTAAAAACTGATCTTAGAAATTAGCTCCTTGGGTGTGAACCACTATTAAGTTTATTACATACCTTGGGCCAGTTTTAACTTAAAAATGTGGACAGGAACAAACTGAATTCTGTACAGAGAGGACAAAGTGACACCTTTTAGAGCAATATGTTTGTTAGGAGCAGGACAGGACTAGAACATGGCAAACAGAGATTTACAATGAAATGAAATAATGTTTCCACCTATTGCTATAGGGATATTCGATCACCTGCACTAATACAGGGCAATTTAAAAACATGTTTAAAATGAAGAATTGGCATTTTCATGTCCTCTAATTCTAGGGCTAAGCATAAGGATCTTCTCTAACATTCTGTACTTCTTAACCCCTGTTTGTATAAATGAGCGTGAGTATCCAGGAATGGAAAAACCAGTCAACGTTACTTGAAGAACTATCTTAAGTAATCCGTTTAAGATGAACACAGTCAAAGTAAGGCAATAACTATAAGCCTAGCTGTACTATTCTGATGTACCCCGCCAGTAAAATTGAGAAAATTTTTGCCCACCTCTATAGAAAATATGCCTTCATTTGCTAGTTTGTGACAGAGACAAGACAAGGCTATCATGTGTATTTTCAGACAGAAAAAAGGTAACAGGCTCAGGTGGAGAGAAAACAATACAGAAACATCTCCTTCCCTTTCTGATACCACACTCTTATCCTTGCTTAAATATGCATTTCCTCTTCGATTTATATTATTAGCTTAACCCCTAGGAGGCACTATAACAACCTTAGTCTCCATGGAGCATTGGGGTTCTTTATTAAAAATGTTTTATAAAATAAGAAGTTTGAAAGCTATGGCATATTCTCAGCAGCTGTGATGTTCTACTCAGTCTACCATAGACATTTAAAGTCACATTTTACAGAATAAAGAAAAACAGAACCATAGTTCAGCGCTCTTCATTGTGGAAAAGAATTGATCATGTTCTACTTTCCTTTTAGGACTTGATAAAATCCCCTGGATAGCACCTTTGTGGGGCTGAACCCTAACTGAACACAAGTCAACAGTCAATGATGCCATTTAGGAGTTAGCATCACTAGATTTTCCTTCCAGGTTATATTAATAATGTACATTTTGCAGAAAGCCTAGGGAAAGTTTTAGAGTAAACATCTTTTTAAGGTGATATAATACAAAAATTACAAGGAGGAACACATCCTTCAGGCTTATTTCTGAAGCCAAGTCAACTTTCATTGCAGATCATTCTAAAACAGGATGTGCCTGACCCCATCCCTTTCCTGTAGCATTTGTGTCCCTTCGCCATTTGACATTTCAATTTAACTGCCTGTCAAATGTTATAGTTCCTCTTAGCTGCGTCCCTTACTTGTATCATGTAGAATAACACGTGGTCTTCATAAGAACCCAACAGAGTAACACAGTAATGAGCCTTTATCAATATCCATCAGTCAGACTAACAAAAATATTGTGCTATTTTTAAATTTATCCCTAAAAAATGTAGGACTCTCTCCATTCACTTCCATAGCGGTAAAGTAATAGATACATGTGTTATTGCTAAAAACTAACAATAAATATCTGAATATTAAAAGTAGGTGCTCCTTCTCTCACCTCTTCCCCCTTCTGGTACTAAGTGGCCAAAACCCTTTCAAACACCATTTGATACAACAGATTTTGCAAGTTGTTGTGAAAGCAATTTACAAGGTGGGAACTGCTGCAAAGGACCTGGTTAACAACTACTGCTCTGGGTTCCCAGCTTCCTTGTATGGAATATTTAACGTAAGTTACAATGACTACAAGTCAACATTGTTTTAAAAGTTTCGGGAGTTCTTGTTTGAGGTGTGTATTAATTGCCACAATATCACGGGGCTCACCTTGAACCAGAAATAGAAAGTGTCTGTTAGGAGGACTGGGCTGTTCCATGCAACAGAATGATCATTCCCACCGCATGCAGGCTGGTGGGTGTGTTTTCCTGCAGTCGTTACTAACTGCAGTGACAAATAGTCCTGCGGTTGTGTGATTCCCATGGTAATGGCAACACAAAAACATTTTGTCCTCAGAGCATGTGTGAGGGGAGGGAAGAACTGGGACTGCCATGGTTAATAGAGGAATTTCACAAGCCACTCACAACCATCACAACCACCCTGAGGTTTACCCGTGGCCTATTGTCCCGCAGAACAAGTGAAGTAAGCCAAATACTAGGTGCAGATGGCACTGAAGAGAACAGATGTCTCTAATGAGCTTGTCAATAACTAAATGCCAGCACATGAGGAGTCTCTGGGATCTTAAGCTCCTCCTGTGTCCCCTCAAGAGAGGGCCCTCTCTGCCCCACTCCTGCTCCCACAGCAGCCACAGGGCCCGGAGGCCCAGCAGGTGGAGGGGAGTGTGAGTGTGAGTGTGTGTGTGTGTGTGTGTGTGTGTGTGTGTGTGTGTGTGTACTTGCAGCTGTTGTAAGAAAGTTCTAGGCATCAACTCTTTAGTTCAATATTTTTTTCTCTAAAACGCTATTTGCTACTAATCTTGTCCACATCAGCTCACTGTTCGTGAGGAAGTTTGGCTGGAGGGATTGCATTCCTTGGGAACCACAGATAGGTACACAAATGTCCCAAAACACATGTTTACATTGTTTTTCCTTTGAAAAGTGATTTGTGTTTAAGAAGCTACTGTCCGTCCACGTGTCAGTGACCGTGGCACCACAGGGAAGGGTGGTGCCCGTACAGGCTGCCGCTGGGAAGGTGCAGACCCAGGTCAGTGTGGAGAGAAGCCGGTCGCCAGGCTGCAGCCCACCACGGGTGTCATGTCCCATATCTGCAAGAGAGAAGGTGCCGGGAGGCAGCCCTGGTCACCAGGTCTGCCCAGGAGAGCCAAGGCTGACACAAACAGGTGTGGAACTGAAAAAGGGCCAGAGGAGCTCATTCTCTTCTTTCAATGCAAAACCGCCTCCTGACCCCAACAGTGATAAAACACTAACCATGATGAAAGCTTTTCAGCAGTATCTAGACACCTGAAACTTTCATCAGAATGATGTTGTACTATACCTTATTATGAAATAAAATATGTCAGAGTTTCACAACTCAAGAGTGGTACTAAGTATAAAACAGTTACTTTCAGTTTTTGTGTTAGTGAGAATTCATGAATAATAATAATAATAATAATAATAATAATAATAATGATAATAATATATGGCTGTTTCTTACAACTAGAAGCCTTCTGCCCAGGATAGAAGGAAACCAGCACAGGAAGGAATGGCTCCAGCAAAGGGTCAGCCATGGGATCAGCTGGGGAGGGGAAACCCTGGGCTCGCTCAGCCAGATGGCGATGGGGGTGCCAGGCAAAGGGAAATGCCTTGGGAAGCGCCAAGGCCAAGGGTGTGGAAACTCACAGGCATGCAGTTTGTTACTGCGTATCTTCATATGGCTACAGGTTGCTTATGAAAAGGGAAGAGGAGGTTGCCAATCAGAAAGTGAGGCTGGACTAGAAATGTCATGCTCACTCGTAGCATGACGAGGGAGCAATCTACGCTAAGATCTAATTGGGACAATTATGCAGCTTACCTTTACAACGCGATCGGTCCCACAGGTCACCATCAGTCCCCTGGCAACATCCATGGACATGTGGGAGATGTTATGTTTTCCTTCATGAAAGGTTGCTAGAGAAGTCCGACTAACAAAGAGAAAAGGGACCACTTAGAAGTCACCCAACTGTATCTAGAGCTGAGGGACACGTTTTCTCAGCAACAGAAAGGAAATACAGTTGCTCTTGAATAGCATGGGTATGATGCACAGGCCACTAATATGCAAATTTTTTCCAATAAATACGTACACAGTACTATAATGTCTTTTCTCCTCCTATCTTTTCTTAATAGCATTTTCTTTTCTCTAGCTTACTTTGTTTTAAGAATACAGTATATAATAACATATAACTTACAAAATATGTGTTCAACAACTGTTTATGTTATTACTAAGGCTTCTGGTCAGCAGTAAGCTATGAGTAGTTAGGTTTTTGAGGGAGTCAAAAGTTATTTGTGGGTTTTCAATTGCCAGGGGTTCAGCACCTCAAATCCCCACATTGTTCAAGGGTCAACTGTACTTAAAGAGCCTTTCATGTAGAAGAGAAACTGCCTGCATGAGATCACAGTGTGGGCACAAGGCAGCCACAGGCTCCCAGACCTCTCTGGCGCCCAGAGAGCAACACTCACCCACCAACACCAATGGTGCCCACTGGTTTTCCACCGTGGGCCTCTGCCAAGGTTTGCCCATTTACTACTTTCAAAGATGACTCAATGGGAAGGGAACGAAAATGATGGTTCTGCCCTAGTAGAACTGCCTGAGTCAGAACAGAATGGGGAACGGACGGAAATGTCTAAACACTAGTAGTTAAGAACTGACTGCTGGGTCAGATCTTGGTGGGGGGAAAAAAATCACTGATGTCTAGAATTTTCCCAGTAATTAAATTTCCATGCACAGATGAGCAAAGATGAGAGCATTCAATGCTTTTGGAGAGAACCAGCTAGCCACTGTGTCAGTGTGTACATGGCCTTGACCCCGCACAGCACCCTAAGGGCTCAAGACTGGGCTGGTCCTAGCAACATCATTCCTTGCAGTTTTGGGGAGAAATCTGTCTTATGTTGTAAAGCTAGAATAGGATCCTCTCTTAAGACATCGCCTACAAAATTGGGAGACACAAACACGTGGGCAGAAGTATATCTGTGTCACTTCCTGTTTCCGGTGCATAGTAAGATTGAGACAGGCAAACACTCACTCCTCATCCTTGATGGAGTCGTAGCAGGAGTCACACATGCGGACCTGGAACTCAAAGCCCATGACGGGGTAGGTTGAGCGCTTGCTGCTGCATTTCCCGCAGACGGCCTGCCCACACTTCCTGCAGTGGTGCTTCAGGAGGAAAAGGAAGATTTTCACTTTTGCTTTAATGCACAGGTGTCCCTTCAGAGCAGGGAAATGAAGCGGAGCGGGGAAGTCTTGCCTTGATTTACAAACATTCCAAGTTAATGTAGCAACTGACAGCCAAAAAGTGGGCAACTGCAGTATTTGACAAGGATTGCCAAACAACCTTACTATATTGGTCAGATACTGCTTTTTGTTCATTCATCTTGTGCCTCTATGTGAAAAAATATAAAAAACAAATTCAAGTTCACTTGAAGAGCCCAACTAGTCCTAGAGAGTTCAGGAAGGAAAAATCTATTCCTATGTCAAAGGAAAGTTAAAAAATAAGGTTTTAACTGTAAATGCCCTCATTAAGAAACCAACACCCATAATCAGATGTTTTACTATCTTTTTTAGTCTTTCAAATTGTGACTCTGGAAATAAGCTTCAAGAACATTCCAAAATAGCCCAGTTATTATTACTGATTCGGACATATTCTTTTATACTGAAAGACCTGTACACTTCCTCTGCTATTAGCTGTTAATCATAAAAGTAATATTAATCTCTTCATGTTTCCTTTAAAAGTAGGTACTTCTTTACCCACCAATTACACTGCACTAGTTTCCACCAGACACACATTGTTAGCAAAAGCTAACGAAACAATTCATTTTCAGAGCATTAGAAAGTTTTAAATGCTAAAATAATTCCTGCATTGCCTGACAGTCTCATATTAAACTTCGCAGGATAAAAATTTTGTAAGTAAAATCAAAGTTTATTAACACACACAAACTTTAGGCCAATCCTTCAGAGAGATGTAACCAGTAGTAAAATGAATAAAATCAGCATTCCTTTTTACTTACTTGCACAAATTCTACTTACTTGCACATATTAAACCTGAGTGTCTGGTTACCTTCAAGTCTGCTATAAAAATCCTATATAATAAAAGGGTTATATGCAAATTAAACCTAATGACAGAACAACCAGAACGACCACTCAACCAGTCACTATGAGGTGCATTGACCACTTCTTGGTCCCTTTCCTTGGCCGACAAGCTCCCATCACCCAGTGGCAAACGGGTAATTGCGGGTGGGTGGCAGGGATGTGGGTGGTGGCAGGGGACGTGGGCAGCGCCAGGGCAAGGCCCCTGCCCTGCCGGTCACCCCACACACAGTGGGAGACACATGACAGGGGCAGGGCTGGCAAGCAGGTGGGAATGGCCGACCTCTTGGTCCTTCCCCCTGGCTGGCAGGCTCTGGTGGGGGTGGGGTAGCGGGAGGTGGGACAAAATTCATGCATGGGCCGAAACCGGTTTGGCTCAATGGATAGAGCATCGGTCTGCAAACTGAAAGGTCCCAGGTTCGATTCCAGTCAAGGGCATGTACCTTGGTTGTGGGCACATCCCCAGTGGGGGGTGTGCAAGGGGCAGCTGATGGATCGTTCTCTCTCATCGATGTTTCTAGCTCTCTATCCCTCTCTCTTTCTTTCTGTAAAAAATCAATAAAATATATATTAAAAAAAATTTCATGCACAAGGGTGTGTCTCTCAGCCCAGCCTGCACCCCCTCCAATCTGGGACATTCCTCTCACAATCCAGGACTGCTGGCTCCCAACTGTTCACCTGCCAGCCTGATCACCCCGTAACCACCCCCCTACCAGTCTGCTACTAACTACCCTCCCCTACAAGCTTAATTGCTCCCAACTGCCCTCCCTTGCAGGCCTGGTCCCTCCCAACTGCCCTCCCCTGCTGGCCATCTTGTGGCAGCCATCTTTGACTACATAGGGGCAGCTACCTTGTGTGTTGGATGGTCAATCTGCATATTACTTTTTTATTAGATAGGATAAAGGCCTGGTGAACAGGTGGGGGCCAGCTGGTTTGCCCTGAAGGTTTTCCTGGATTAGGGTGGGAGTTCCCTTGTGGTGTGGGGCGGCCTGGGCAAGGAGCCTGTGGTGGTTTGCAGGCCAGCCACACCCACCAGTGACTCAGATGAAAGCCCTGGTATCTGGGATTTATTTATCTTCTATAATTAAACTTTGTAGCCTTGAGCAGAGCCAAGCCTCCTGCTTGCTAGTGGCTGTAGCCATTTTTGTTGGGATTTATTTATCTTCTATAATTGAAACTTTGTAGCCTTGAGCAGAGGCCTGGGCCCACCAGGGCAGGGAAAGCTTGGCTTCCTCCATTGCTGGGGGCAACCCAAGCCTCCTGCTCTCTCCATGGCCGCACCCAACTTGATTGTGTTAATATGCATACTTGTTCCTGATTGGCAGGTGGGCGTGGCTTGTTAGTATAGCAGAGGTACGGTCAATTTGCATATTACTCTTTTGTTATATAGTATTTGTAGAGCTTTAGCATATGTACATACCTAGTGAGAAGAACATCTTTGAAATCTATAGGCTATTTTTAATTTAAAAAACAAAAATTGTTCTTGAAACATGCTTAAAAATATTATACATGCTTACTAAAAATATTCCAGGTAGATTAATGTGGAACAATTTAGGAATAAAAATCTAAAATTATTAGAGCCACAGTATTCCAGTGAGTACTGAATTGTTACTTTTTATCAGTTTGTGAAAGCATGAGGCTTGTATGCTCTAATTCATTCTAATTTGGTTCTTGGCTAGTATGAAACAGTCCCAAAGTGAAAGATCTGATTCTATTTACCAGCAGGCTTGGGTTTTCTATGCATCCTACTCTTTCAGTGCAGGGCCAGCCATGGGACAGGTAGGGGACAGTCTCCAGTGCAGGACCAGCCATGGGACAGTTAGGGGACAGTCTCCAGTGCAGGACCAGCCATGGGACAGGTAGGAGACAGTATCACTGGCCCAGAAAAGGTCTTGCTCATTATTAACAGTGATGGTCATATCCAAAAAAGTATGAACTAACAACACTTCTGGAGAAGTGTGATTCCAAACAAACAAAAATTACACAAATGAAAGAATGCATGATTAACCCGGTGGTGACTCAAAGTTGGCTACGTACCTGCCTCAACCCCAGTGTCTTTGTGTCCCACATCTGCTTGATGTTCCAGAAAAAGGGCTGCTCACATTTCTGGCATGAATCACTTTCTAACCACTGAGGAGCCTGGGCGGAGAGAGACAGAGCCAACGTCAGTGCGGCTGCATGTTCACACTGGCTTTTCAGCAATTCATACGACAGTTCTAAACACAACTGAGGTTAGCATTTTAAAAAATTCCTCAGTATTTTATAGCTATTGCCATATCCACTACTATGTCTGTGTTCTGCGTAATCATTATCATTTTAGTAATGTTTATAGGATTGCTCAATTTTCAACTTATAGAAAAGAGGAAATTATTCAATTCTCATTTGAACTCTTAGAGTTGTATCTGAATATTTCTTTTGTTATGCCAAATTTCTTTGAAAATTGTTCAACCAGTTAAGCAAAAACCCCTTTTTCAGAATCTGGCAAACAACCACTTGAGGCACAATGGTGGGACCACAAGGTGCCTAATAGGGGAGTCCCTGTGGCTGGGCACCAGGTCAGACAGATTTTCCACCCCCGCCCCCCAGCCTTGCCTGCTCCTCCTCTTACCTCTTCTCTGTTAACATCCATGTTCCACACAGCAATCCCACCATCGGAGGAACAGGAGACAAGCTGCCTCGTGAGCTGAAGGTAACACAGCGACTGCACCCGGTCACTGCAGATGACACACGCCAGCACTGGTCTCAGGGTGGGAAACAGGCCCATGGAGGCACAACTCCCGCCCCTGCTAGCATCAGCCCTTGGCATTTATCACTGACTCTGGTATGGGAACATGGATCCTGGGGTAAACTACCTGGCATTCTGTAACTTACTATAAGAATAATAGTTTCTACAAAACAAACACTACTTTCAAGCTAGTCCTCAAGAACTGCAGGTCAGAGATGAGATGATGACTACAGTTTTCTGGACCAATCACCATGATTCCTTTGTCAGGTGCACAAGATTTACCTCCTTGTTCAGACACAAAGGACAAAGGAGGTGTAACTGCCTTGCCTGAACCCAACCATAACAAGTGGTCACACACTACAGAGACTATAGATACACACATGCACAAGCTCACCATGCACATACACGTTCACACATGATCACATGTACCTACACACATTTGCTCACACATGCTCATACGTGCACACACACACACGCTCAAATGTATGTACACAAGCAGATACCGTGGAGGCTCTGGGAAACAATCTCCTGGCCTGTAGGCCTGTATGGAGAATGTTTCCTTGGCTACTTTTCAGCTTGACTCTGGTTATGGTAAATGGTGTCAAACTAGCCAACAAAGGGGAGAGGGTTCCTTTTCCTTTCAAGACTAGATGGCAAGAGCCTGAGTATTACACTGTCATAGCAATGGCCATACGACTACATCAAGCCACATATTCCTTCTTAATGAAATAATTTTATAATTTAAGAAAACGAGTTAGGCATCCGATTCAGAATAGCTTAGTATCACATTACACACACTCTTCCACGGTCAAAGTCCAGTTCTGAGCTCCAGGCCTGAGCAGCTTATTTCAATAGGGTGACTCACTGGGAGAGACATGTGGGGAGTGCCCTTTGGGCCAAGGAGGAAGAAAACCCTGTGCTCTTCATTTCCCTTTTGGCTACAGAACACCAGACACTCAGGACTATCAGAAAAACAGTTCAAAGTGGACCCCGTCAGCCCTATCAGATGGCCGTTTTTGAAACACTAACGTTTCCCCTGCTTTCCCTCAACTCAGGTTCTCTCCCCACCCCCAGAACAGTCACGCACTGGTGGCCCTGGAGCAGGATCGTGCGGCCCTTCCTTCCTCCGATGTCCCACATGATGATGCTGTTGTCAGAGGCTCCAGAGAAAAGTAACCGCTGGATGGGATCCCACCAGAGGCAGGTGACACCACCTGGGGGTAAAGGAGGGAGGGAGAAATGGAGGGAGGGAGGGAGGAAGAGAGTAGGAGGGGCAGGGAGAGAGAGAGGATTGGTTAAATATAACTCCATGTCAGGGCACACACATCTGACAGCTGAAGACCCAACTAGCACAGCTGAGTTTCAGGAAACGTGTACAAAGGGCCATTCAACACTTTATCATGAGTCATGAGAAGACACAGTACATCCACTCTCCTGGTCATAAGACTAAAATCTTCAGTTGTACATCAAAGAGGTACAAAAGGGCAAAGATGTTTCAATAAATGTTTCCTTGTTCTGTATCATAAAATTATAAAACAGCTGTTGAAAAGATTATTAAAAAAAAAACTTTTAAAAAATATAGCCATTGACATTTAATGAGAACAGGCCTTTAGGTTTACTGGGGTCATCTTATAGAAGCTTGAAAGCGAGACTACTGCAGATCTCTGGGACCTGGCAGGCAGTTTACAGCCCAAGATGCCAAGCCGATGTTTGAGAAAATCAAGTGTCTCCAAGGAAAGGTTTACAGGTATTTCAGAAATTTAGGTAAAAAATCCAAATTGGCTAAGGTAAAAAATCCAAATTTAGGTAAAAAATCCAAATTATATAACTCTTGAGAAAAGCCTTTCTTTCTACAGATTTCTCTTTCAACAGAACTTATCATTATTCCAGTGACTGTTGCTTACCTAGAAGAAAATGATTAATAAACTTAATAAAACTGAACCAGTCATACAAACTCGTAATATTTTTGTGGGTATATAGAAAATGAATGACACCATATTCAAAGCAAACAACACAAGCGGTTTCTCACAGAAACTTAACAAAAGTGTGTGTGTGGGGGGGTGTAATTCTGCAAAACTGGCTTCAGGCATAATTTTGTATACACACTGACACTGTTTAAACCAATGCCCCACACATTTTAGCTAGAGGCCTAACAGCAGACAAACAGGATCTTTCTATACGAACACGACTAAGCAGTTACCAGAACCCACTCTAACCTAGCAACCTGGAGAAAACTGGAGTCATGAGACTCTTAGTCATAAATGGAAAGAGGTGTCCTCAGGGGCTGTGCTTTCCTGCCCACGTCTACTCCTACTTACTGTTCTTTCTCCTTCTTCCTCTTCAAGGTCCCTGTCTGACAGACCTGATTTCACCCAAACAGATTACTTAAGACAGTGTGGAGAACATTTAATTTGTTTAATTTGTTAGACTTAAGACACTATTTTCATAAAAGGCCATCATTAATTCTTTTTAACAATCCCCAATTCTTCAATCTAAACCAAATAGCCTCAAAGCTTCTAATTTCTTACCCAACACAGCCAAGTGCATTTTAAAACACTTTCTTGGAGTCTTGCCAACTCACTGCACTGCAGAAATAATGAAATTGCACCTAACCTTTTTCCACAGCCCCTACCCAGGGGAAGTTTCCCAAGTAGAGGCTGACCCGGCCCATACATTTCTTTTCATTGTATTAATCCACTAGTCTTGTTCAGTGTCCTAGCAACTGGTAATTTAAAAATAATAACATTCTTGGAAAGGTTTTACCATTTACAAAAAAAATTTTAAAAGGTCTGAAAATAATTTCATTGAAAACGGTAAGCAAAATATAAAGTATGATCCACACCAGCAACCTAGGAGGGATTTTGACAATACAAAACCCAATTCAGCATCCTACCTTCACTTAGCCTTCACTCTGTGAGATCTGAATCCCCTGTCTAGCCAATCAAATTGAAATCTGACAGGTCATGGGTAGGTGATCATCCATGAAACCACAGGGCTGAGAACTAAATTGGGATGCCCAAATTAGGTGGGAAAGCTGTGGGTGAGGACGCAGACTACCTTCATGTCCTTTGAGGGTTGTGATAAGGGAGCAGGCAGCCCTTTCCAGCTTCAGCAGGGTGATATTTCCAGAGAAATCGCCAACAAAAGCATACTGGGTATCAAAATCGAATCTGTGGGAAAGCAGTCAAGGATCTCCAACACAATCTCAAAGTTGTAAAGCAGAAAATGTTCTCTTTAAAGAGACTAAGCACAAGCCCAAAACTCTGAGAAAGGAAATCGCCACCTGAAAATCAAGCAAGATTTAAATACTGACGAAATAGTTTTAAGCTGGACTCATGGAGAAAATTAATATGTAATCATTCAACAAGAATTCATTGAGAATCTGTCATTACTCTTAAGCAATATTTGGAACTTGGCAATAAAAAAAAGATAACAGCTAACAGAGAAAACAGACATGAGAGCAAGTACCGTAGTTATAAGCAAATGATAATAAAACGCAAAAAAAGGTGAACTGCTCAATAGTGAAAAAAGCAAGAAAGATCTGGAAGAAAATGGCTATTTGTGAAATATCTCTGGAAATAATGTAAAACTGACAGCCAATACGGACATGACCCATCTTTCCTTTGCCCTAGATTATTTAGCTTTAAGTAAAGAGGATGGCTCACTTTAAATTGCTGTGGAGAGTTCATTCAACCAAAAGGCAGTTATCTGGGCCAATAGTAAATTTACATTTTAAAACTATATTAACTTATTACTTTCTCAGTGACATTATAGTCATAGAAACTTGTGGCAAATTGGTAGTTGACACACAGTAGGATACTACTACTTAAAGGTCAGAAGGACAACCATGGGCTAGGTGATGACTGTAGTTCTGTGCCATTTTCTTCCAGTCCATATGAAAAGCCTAACTCACAACAGAAACACTTAATTAGCACATAAAGTATCTGATTATTTTCCTTTGTTTGATTCTAAAGTGTATGGTACTAATTTATATGATTACTTTAAGTATCTTATGTTCTCGGTACATTCATTCGTAGCAAATATTTTCTATGAAGGCTTTCAATGGAAAAAGGGAATTTTAGTAGAAGAACTACTGATGCTGACAGCCTTGATCTTGCTGGCACTAAGATACACAACTACCACTGCTAGCCTTAAGCAAGGGCAAACTCCATGTGAAAGGTTCCATTTACCAGTGAAAAAATTTTAAAGCAGGAATTCTAGGGATGCAGAGGCACCTTTGAGAGTATTATAAGAATTATGAACCTTTTTTATACATAAAAAAATAACAACTATAAAACTTGTAGCCCATTTATGAACTCTAGAGTCATAAGCCTTACTGCATTTATATTCTACTAGAGGCCCAGTGCACGAATTCATGCTCTGGTGGGGTCCAGCTGGGGGAAGAGGCCATGGGTGGGTTGCCAGCTGGCCTTGCCCCCAATCTGGGTGGGGGTGCCCACTTGAGGGTGGGACCAGCCAGGGGAGGGGCAACGGGTGGTTTGCTTGCCAGCCCTGGCCCTAATCAGGGTGGGGGAGCCTGCTTGGGAGTGGGCCGGCTGTGGCAAGGGGTTGCAGGCATTCTGGTCATTCCACTGTTTGGTCAATTTGCATATTACCCTTTTATTATATAGGATTGCAGGGTCTGTAAATAATAAATTATTAGAAGACAAATTCTTTATTTTTCTTTCTTTATACAAAAAGTCTTTTCTTTCACTTTGAAATGTAAAGGAATGAAGGGAGGAGTTTGCAATAATGAGGATTAGATTTTCTAAGATTTTGTATTAAACATACAGCACTTCCCAGCAAGGAATAGTAAGTCACTTAATTATTTTCAATAAGCCAATTTTATACCAATAAAGGTAAATACAGCAAATTTTAGATTTTATGTAAAATATTAGGAATCATTTAGTCTTTGGATCTCAATTAACAATTCTTATCTTATTTTCTTTCTCTTTTTTTTTTTTGTCTTTTTTACTTTTCCTTTGTTTTGTTTTTCATATTTTCTATTCTACTTTTTGGATGCTTTTGTCAATCAACAATTTATGATCAGAATAGAAATTAATCATTGAGACAAGGAGGCAAAGGCCCACCCTTCAAAGGATACTGCAAACACGAAGCCCAGGAGGGGAAGAGGTGCGTCCCGAGTATGTCCCCGGTCCGGGTGCACATCCAGCAGGCACACTTGTCGTGGCCGGTACTGATCACCCACTCGATGGCCACGCTGAAGATAAGTGAAGACACCCGGTTCTGATGAGCTGCAGGAACAGAAATGGAAAGTCTGAGCCCTTCAGGAAGAAATGTGACCTTCAGAATTGAATCTCGTGGGGTAAGAACTGAGGCTGACCTTCTCAACTGGCTGGCCTGGGGAAGCACAACATTCCGTCATGGGAATGCCCAACCGTGAGCGGGTGTCAGATAATCTGCTCTGCCCTGACTCTCTATCACCGGCTTCCCTGGGCCCTGTCCTCTGCCTGCCTACATGGCAGACAGATAGAAGCTACCAATTGTTAGAGTAATGCTCAAGAGGGATTCCAATAATAGATTAGAGAACAGACTTGTACTTTGCTCTAAAAAACCCTACCTACAAATGAGGAAAGCAGGAGTCTTTTCTTAAAAGAGAAAAAAATTTTATTGTCCATAACTTCAGTGTTTTAACCCTTTAGAAAAGACTTTGTAAACAAGAGCAAGTATACTTTTCTGTAACTAAAAAGTACTGTAAGCAATTTGTGTGTAACTTTTTACTATTTATAAAGACAAAATATTTCTATATTCCAAAATACCAAAATAAGACCCGAAAATGAAGAAAGTATTCTTTCTGGGACCTAACTTATGAAATATCTGTTTGCAGATTAACTGTAAGCCACTAGGGCAATGCTGATTACAGCACCTTGGATGTAGCAGGAGCTTAGTGAATGCCCAGGCTGATGAATGAAGTCTGAGACTAGACAGAGAAACTTCTAAATTGTTCTCAGCTGTACAGGCTGCTTCAGGAGCACTGAGGAACTTTTTCTTATAAATTAATTAGCAAACGATTCTGGGAATATGGGAACCAGACATGCATAAAGGATGACAAAGGGTTAACGTTAAATACAGCTTAAATAATTTTTAACGTGAGAACTATTTTGACTATCAAACTGGCAAAAAGCATTTATAAGGAGTAACGTAAACATTTAAAGAGCAGGCACTCTCAACCACCATTCACAGGATTGCAAAATTTGCACAATTGCTGGGAAGAGGTTTGCAAATAAATCATGAGCATTAAAAACCATTTAATGCTTGACCCAGTTACTCTACTTTTATGAATTTGTCTTAAATAGAAGTAATTAGAGTCAGAGTAACAGTCAAGGACACACACACGTATATACATAGATATGAAATACATAAACTCACAGATATATATACATATACTAGTACATCCACATCCACTATCATATGTGTTAATGAATGGGCAATATAAAAAAGTAGAAGCAGTACTCATGTTCAAAAATAGAAACTTTCACCTAAATAGAATAGTATATAATAATTTAAATATCAATAAGCAGAAAAAGAATGGTAAATAACTTCAAAGAAGTAATAGCCTCTTATTTAATTGAGGTAACAAAACTAAAAAGTTAATATGAAAACCTACATTTTTATTTTTATATTTTGTAACTTTATTCTTAAAAATCTTTATTGCTGAACATATTACATATGTCCCTCTGTTTCCCGAATTGACCCCTTCTAGCCTGTCCCTGCCCCCCACTCCAGGCCTTCACCAAACCTACTTTTGATCATATGAGATGTTCTAGTTTTGTGTACGCAGATCTACATGTATGTACACAAATGTGTGTGAATGTGTGAGTGTGTGTATTATAATTACCTGGGTAAGTCCTGATAAAGTTCATTTTATTAAAATCTTCAGAAACATGAAATTCCTAAAAGTAAACACATGCAGTAAGAAAATAGTCACGATTTTAAAAACAACAGGAATTTAACTTATAAAACAGTTAAACCCAAAAATAGCTATCACCAGACCTGGGACTGGATCAGCTATAGAACAATAACTTAGGACCTGTCCTCAGGCCGCCCTTTGTTTTGGGGACCAGATGGAACAGAGCCACTGACCAGCACAGCATTTCTATCCAGTTCTCTGCAGTGAAAGCTTTGAAGTCTCTCTATTTCTAATTGCAAAGGAAGCAACTTGCTCATTTTTTCCCTCTGGGCTCCATCAAAAATTCCTCAGATGATATATATAAAGTGAAAGTATAAAAATCCATTACTATCAGAGCTCTCAACTATAGTGAAGATAAAACATAGGGTATTCCAAGTAATGTAAGGGGAAAATTATACATATTTAATATACAAATACACAAAAAAATGGACATTAAGAGGTTGTGGGTGGGTTTCTTCTTTTTATACTCTTGCATTTTCTAAATTGTTACAGACTGTGTAATACTTTATAACTAGGAAAAAAGTTAAAAGTATATGCTTAATGAAAAAAAAATGAGCTTTAACACAAAACGAAGATGAATCTCTTAAAAAAAAAGAAAAGAAAAGAAAGAAAGAAAAAGACCCTAATAAAAATTTCTATTGACCAATGCTAAATTGGTAAGTTTTTAAGGCTCCAAGTAACATGGACTTATAAATTGTTAACTACTCAGACTGAAAAAAATATAAATTCCTTATACTACATCCTGGTTTTGCAAACTATAAATATGTCTTAGCGTCTTAAGGATACTAATCTTTATTGGGTGGGAGATCAATAGATCAATAGCTAATGAATGATAAGTTGGATTTACATTGCCCCTTTCCAATGAAGAGCTATAAGGGTTTCTATAGGCTAACCTATTACTGATGTCCTTGAACCAGGAGCCACAGAAGGGTCCCTAAAAAAAGAAATGCTCAACCATTGCCACCATTGGAGAAACTATTTGAGGCTTGCAGTTCATGGCTCCTTATTATATTTGTATATGCACATCACCATTATATTCCTACAATATTTTCAGAAAAAGAAGAGTGAGAATGTTGGCTTTAGTTAAAGCCATACTACATAATGTATTTACAGCAGCCTCAAGTTCATAGGGCATGAAACTCATCAAACCCTAACTCTGTAGCCCCCAAGTCCTTACCACCACCTACTGTTTGGGCTGAGAACATGTCTTTGTACTGCCTCTTCCCTTCTTGGCCCAGAAAGACCACAAACAACAAACATGAACTGAGGAAGAAATAGAAAATCTGTAACAAGTGAAGAGATTAAATTAATAGTCCAAAATCTTTCCACAGTGAAAAACCCAGGACATCAGGTGGTTTCTCTGGTAACTTCTTCCAAGCTGCAATCTGAATCACTTACTACTCAACAATTAAACACACACACACACACACACACACACACACACACACACCACGAGCAAAGGACTTGAAGAGGTATTTCTCCAAAGAAGATATACAAATCATCAACAAGCAATTGAAATATTCAACATCACTAGTCATTAGGCAAACGCCAACAAAAATCATAATGAGATACCATTTCACACCTTCTGGAATGGCCACAGTAAAAACAATAGAAAATAACAAGTGTTGACAATGATGTAGACAAACTAGTAGAACCTTACACGTTGGTGGTGGGAGTGTACAACAGTTCAGCCACTTTGAAAAACAGCTTGGGGGTTCCTCAATGAGTTAAAAATAGATTTACCATATGACCTGGCAATTCCACTCCTAGGTATATAGACCCAACAGAATGAAAAACTTATGTTCACAAACTTGCACACAAATGTTTATAGCAGCATTATTCACAATAAAAAAAAAGTGGTAACAATCAAAAGTCCATCAACTGATGAGTGGATAAACAAAGTGTGGTCTATCTATATAATAAACAACAACAAAAAAGTACTAATTTAAACTATAATGCAATGAACCTTATTCTATTACTTATTCTATTAGGTGAAAGAAGCCAGACATAAAAGGCAACATGCATTATGTGATTCTACTCACATAAAATGTCAGAACAGACAAATCTCTGGACTCAGAAAGTAGATTAGCGATTGCCAGGAACTGGGGGAGAAGGGCCCTGGTGGGGAATTGTGGGGAGTGACTGCTAATGGGCTGGTGTTTCCTTGGGGGAGGGGGTGTGATGAAAATGTTCTGGAATTAGAGAGTGTTAATGGTTGCATAATCTTATGAACATACCATAAAACCACAGAATTGCACTTTAAAATGATGAACTTTATAGTATATGAACTACGTTTCCTTAAAAAAAAAATGTGTGTGTATAAACACACACACACACACACACACACACACACAATCTGACCTACAAAAGTACCTATAATAAATTAAAAATGTAAATATGTGATCCTTCACCAAAGATACCTTATGAAACACTGCCCTAAAGAGCTATACAAATTGTTGGTTGAACAGCTAGTCCCTAACTTGGTTCTCCTTCCCCTTCCTCTGTTATAGGTATGCACAAGTGCACACACACACACACACACACACACACACACACAGGCTCTCCACCGCAACCTCCTTGTCCTGGCCTTCTCTGTGGTTCCGGGATAGGGGCTGCATGGAGACTGTACCTTGTGGTTAGCCTATGTCATCCATCATAACAGCATTCTGAGTTCCACGAAAATGGTTTAAAATTAAACACTCATTAAAATTAATCCATTCTGCCCTGTCTGGTTTGGCTCAGTAGATAGAGCGTCAGCCTGTGGACTGAAGGGTCCCAGGTCCGATTCCAGTCAAGGGCACATGCCAGGGTTTCGGGCTCAATCCCGTTGGGGGCATGCAGGAGGCAGCCAATCAATGATTCTCTCTCATCACTGATGTTTCTCTCTCTCTCTCTCTCTCCCTCTCCTTTCCTCTCTAAAATCAATAAAAATATATTTTAAAAAATAATAAAATGAATCAATTTTTAGGTCTAACACCTATACTGAATTCAAAAATGTTTATGCCAATCAGGCATTTATTGCTAACTTTATTTAAACTTCCCAACAGATATGAACATGGAGAGGTTGACATAATCCATGCATCCTGGAAAGTACCTACCATGACGGATCCGTTATCCTGTCCCACAAATATCCGCCTGCTTTCATGATGGTAAGTCATAGCCGAGCAAGGAGCTGCCAGAAAGACAAAGATCACACTATAAGCAAAGCTAAGCATTGTGTCATTGTGCAAGATTCATTATTAAAAAAGAGCTATACGATTGAGGTTAAAAAAGAGGGTAAAAAGGTTTTGTAAAAAAACAATGATATAAATTGAAAATGCTAATAAAGTTCTTTCTGTTATTTCAGTTTAAAAATCCTCACACAAAATTATTTTTAAAACTTTGAGTTAAGCGATCCAGCCTGACATTTCATCTGACTGAAACTCCTACCTGTTTCTGGAAAGGTTTGGGGACCAGTGCATACAGTGGGTGATCTGCACCCTATACTCAATGGGTCATCCTGCCCCCGCCCCCGATCCCTAACACAGGTAAAAGTAGCTGCGATCTGCGGAGAGAGGGGTTCCGGGGTTCCGGCACAAGAATTTCCATTCCAAGGCATATGTGAATTACTTTTGAATTACTTTTTTCCTCCTCAATGGCCAAACAATTTTCCCTAATGCAATGACAACCAACCCCGCGTGTAGTCCGTGAAGTTGTGTGAATACTTTTCTTTGTCCACAGCAGGATCATGTGACTGGGTAGCACTTGCTTCCCTCCAGGTTCTGGCTACCCTTCTAGAGAGCAAGGGCAAGAGAATGAGTTTCAGAAAGGAGTAACTCCACCTTGTCTCCTTTTGCTACACATCAGAATTAATGTGATTTAGAAAAGGGAGCATTTGTAAAAAGAATGTATGGGTTCATTTCATCCTAAGAATTGTAATTGCCCAGGAAGGAACCATAACAAGGAAATAAATGTGTGCCAGGAAAAAAAACAAACTTGAGTTTGCTTTGAAAAAAAACTTCATATGAAAAAGGGGAAAAAAAATCTTATACGTGAAGTCACCATTTGAAAATTGTTTAATTTAATTTAAAGTTCTCTCTCTACAATGGGCTGGGTATTCTCCACCAAAGGTAGACAATAAACTATAACACAGTACTGGATTGTATTTAAAGGCAAGAACACAGCTACCTGCATGACCAGCTTATGGAAAGAAACTGTTAGAGCGGCAAAGAACCATCGAGCTGAAAGGCAGGTACTGCCTTTGCCTGTAAACAGAACAATGACAAGTGGCAAGAAGCCTGTACCCCCTTAGCCCCATATTGCTGTTGAAACTGCAAAGAATGATCATGTTTAAGAATTATAACCACAAAGATTTATGCATCTTCATACACAGTGCTCTTTAATCACCATACATAAAATTACCAATGACACATCAAATTATACTTTGATCATTTCAAAGATTCACTGTCATCATTTTTACTTTTCAGGTGGTACTAAATCTTAATGCTTTAAAACTTCTTTTCAATTATTTTTATGCCTAACCCTCTAACAAACTGCTCATAAATATGTAGGAACCCTCCTCTGTGCAAAAATTACAATGGGCTGAGTTATTTTATGCGGCTATAGAATTCTGAAGTTTAAACAGAAAGCTTTCCTAGTTTATTTGCTTTGTATATAAAGATGTCCTGGCTCTTTTCCCTAGAAGACAAGCTTCTAGCAAGATAAGCAATACAATTTTTTTTTTTTAAGTTTAGATACTCACATAGTTTTATAAACAAAATACAAATCTGTGGCCTTTTAAAAAGGCATCACTGCAGTCCCAAATCATTCGCTTCAAGTCTAGTTTTGTAAATAAAGTTTTTGTTTTTTTGTTTTTCTGCAACACAGCCAGGCTCCTCTTTTTAGCATTGTTTATGGCCACTTTCAAGTTCCAAGGGCAGAAGGTTGAAGAGTTGCCATGTAGACTGTTTGGCCTATAAAGTCTAAATATTTACTGTCTGGCCCTTTCAGGAAAAGCTCATGGATACACCCCATACCTGTGGTGGGGAGCATAGTTTTGGAGTCAGATAGGCATGGATTGGAATTCCAACCACAAGCAACCAATGTAACCCCTCTGGCCTCAGTTTCCTCATCTACTAATGGTGAAAATGTCACCTACCTTCCCAAGTTGTGTGATTACTCATAACGTGATGTTATTTCTTATAAAGGCATGAGACACACAATAGATAGAGGAACTAAGAGTTACCATTTCTTTTCAGCTAAAGCAGATTCTGAAAGTTATCTTTGTTATGGGAGGAAACATTCTGAAACTTAATCAGAACACAGAGCACTATGCTAAGGTTCGGCTCGTTGATCACAGTCAGGTCACAAGAAAAAGTCTAAATTGGTGGTTGACCAATAAAATGTCCTAAATTGGGTAATCTACAGATAGTTTTAAGAGCCAACATGGCACTTTGCTTCTCATATTTTGAATTTATTTTTAAAATGAAAGTCATCCTAAAATACCAAGCAATTATTTCTCATAATTCATTCATTGTGTTCTTCTGGCAATGTTCCTGCAGTTTTATCAGCAGATACATCTCCAGATGGATGCAATAAAGAAGCTTCAGAAACAACAAGCCAAATGTGTGTAGACATAAACATGTGGGGGTCAGCCACCAACAGCAGAGATGCTGGGCCTGTTTGTTCCAGTTTGTACTGGTCTCTGTAGCCACCATGTTCTGGGAGCTACTTCTAGAAGGTCCCATTAAGCCAAGTTAGCAAGGGATGACCAAAGCCACATGCCCAAGATCTCAGAGCCACGTAAGAGTACTCACTTCTACCGCCACTGGAAGTCTAAAAGAAACCCCTTTTTTTGGTTGGGTAGAAGGTGGGCTCAAAAGCCCAAGATGTCCCACCCACCTCTGATCCCTGCTCCCAACAAAATCCCAAAGTAAATTTATCAAATGGACCCATGGGCACCTTTATTAAGACATTGGTCCTTCATATTTCAGAGGAGTGACCAAAGTTATGCATCCACAGCATATGGAAATAGGAGATACTACTGCTTGCTCCCATCAATATGATTGGGTTTTCTTCTAGTGCACTCCATATTATAAAGCTTTACGGTGCCTTTTATAATAGTCATCTCTATAGCAATAGTCCAAAAAGTCTACTTCATTTTCACTGAATGATTAGCAAGACAGAGAAGCTGAGGAGGCTGCCCAAGCTGCAAGTGGAAGACAGAACAAATGAAAACCCTGACAAACCAACTCATGTTTTGCAGAAACTGACCACAGGGCCTGGACGATGCATGTTCGCAGGAATAAAAGTGCCCGGGAGGGTGACTCACGCTGTCCGTGGGAATGTACTGAATAACTGGCTACTCTGTGTATACAACTCCACTGCCTCTGCATCAGCTCTCAAGAAAGTTGTCACCAGTGTCTGGAACAACTGGCAAGAGGTCTTTTTAAGAACTTCCTCAGAAGTAAAACCAGTGAGCATGCCCCACAGCCTTTCTTCTTTCCTTCTTTTCCGGGGGGGAGGGGGGGGGAGGGGCCTCTAAACAGTGGATCACTTAACTGAGGAAAATCCCTTATTCAGGACCAAACCACAAGGAAATGAGACTCTGGATGCTTCTGTCGCCATTTGGGACAGCAGGGCTCAACCCCAGGTGAGCCAGGTGGGGTCCAGGCATCCTCCACAGGGCTCTCTTTTGTAGAAACGGTGGAGAAAGAAAGAGGGAGAGGATGGTGATGCCGCTTAGATCTGCATGACGGGCTACAACTAAAATGTAATTTTATGGCACGTTAGCTTAGGGCTGCCTTAAAAATCTCAACGCAGAAGACTGATCTACATTTATTTTTAGAACACATTTAGCTCCTGAGAAAATTCTCTTTTTAGTATGTGCAGTGCTTTGGACCAAATCTCCCACTGGAACCCAGAGGTTTGTGAAAAGGTTGGGCACAAGGCTGGTTATGAGGACACAGAATGTCAGTATCAGCTACTACTAAGTACTAAGTCACTACTAGTTTAAGTTGGAAAAATTAAGGAAAACTGAGTTTGTGTTTGGGAGGGGCATGCCACCCACCCCACCCCCACCCACCTCTGCCCACAGTTTTGCTCAAGGTTGCTTCAGTTAAGCCAGTAGACCCAACTTCCTTTGCAAAAGAAAAGCAGTTTTCCTGCAGTTAGGCACCGCCAGTGGGAGGGATTAGACAACTGAAAAACTCATTCTGAAATCTAGCAGCACTTTTTAATAGACAGTTTGAAATTTAAATCGCCAAAGACATTAGAGACATGTTCATCGAGTGAAACAGTTTCCTACTTACAGGCCAATGTGTGGTAAATGCTGGGCCAGTACTGGCCGCTGTCCCTCTTCAGCCATACTCGGATGGTTCTGTGGAGGAAAGAAAAAGCACATAGTAATTGTATCTTCTTTATGCTCCTGTAAACCTTATTTGTTTTTAATACTATGTCCCAGCTGACCTTAAACACATACAGGGGTGGGCAAAGGTAGGTTTATAGTTATGAATATGCAAATCAGAGTTAGTAGCTATTGTATTAATCAGAACCTGCATGTCTCCATATGAACTATAAACCTACTTTTGCCCACTCCTGTACACACACACAATCACCCTGTATATAGTATGTTTCTACATAACTACATATATACGTACATGTTAGATATGGTTACATATAGTATGACCATATGTGGTAGGTTACGTAGTAGTTAGGAGTCAGGTTTGAAATAACTTTAACGTATGAAAAATACTCATGATATAATGATCAACATATAAAGAAAACCGAGCTTTTCTTAGTAAAACTGAGTGTAAACTTGGTCGCCTGACACCTGGGTGAATGAGGGGAGCCGTAGATGTGTGTGGAAGGGGCCGTTCCTGGAAAAGCAGATGTGCGGACAAAGCAGAGCCCAGGCCGGGCTGGCTCAGGGAACTCCCAGGCTCCATCCCTAGGAGGAAGCCATTCCACCCCAGGCCTCGGGGCCCCGCTTTCATCAGAGCACACACAGGAAGACCAGGAAATCCGGTGCATAAGGCAGGAAAACGACAAATCGCCCAAGTTAAATATTTCAGCTTATCGCCTGAAGGACAACAGGGAATACTGTGACCCTGGCACGCTGGCTCGTCCCTTCACAGAACCGCCTCACCGATATGGGCCTCTTCCTCCTGAACTCGAGGCCTCCCGCTGCCCCCAGCGCAGCCATGCTCTGTCTCTGCACGACTCCTGTCTTATGTCCCTTGCTGTCAACGCTGCCACCATCATCCCTGCATCCCTAACAGCAACACAGATCCCGGCACCAAGCCAGCACTGGATCAATGTTCACAGCCTTGAACTAAAATACATTAAGACTAAAGATGACACTGTGTGTGTCTGTTCTGATTGAAGTTTAAGACAAGTAAGACTGGTCCATGAGGATACAATGTTTGTTCCTGTGGGAGGACAGAATGCAAAGGAATATGAGGGAACTTGCTAGGATGATGAATGGCAAGTTGTGGAGAGATGGGCACATGGGTGCCAGCATTTGTCAGAACTGGTCCAGTCACACTGAGGAGCTGTACAGATTACTGAATAGGATTAGGCTGTAATAAAAGAAATCAAAGACTAGATATTGACCTTCGGTCATCAAAATAAATCAGACGATAGATCAGATGACCCAGAAGCATGGTGGGCATGATGCTGTTTTGTAAGTGAAGTGGATATGGCCTTCCTGTAGGAGCAGGCAATAATACAGCATGCCTTGGTCACAACAGGACCTTTGCCAAGCTGAATGGCTCTGAATTTGTCTTTATATCCCACCCCTAATCACAACCGGTTAGACCAGAAATGGACGTCTAATCCAGGTGGATAAATCAGTTTCTTCCCTGAGAAATTGAAAACCAGGAAAGAAAAGAATAGATCAGTGTGTCTCTAGTACTTGAAATGACTATTTGTAGTCATATGTTTTGCAACTGGGAATGGAGGATTGTGTATATCAAGAAAAGAGAAAGAACGAAGCTGACCTATAGAGAGAAGCAGGAAAGAGCTGAAAAGAGTCGAGGTGGAAAATCCATCACGCCAACTGCTTGAGGCCAAGCTATGACCCCCAAAATCCTTACCATAAACACCCCCAGTGGATTAAACCAGTCTGCATTATTTCTGTTGTTTGTACGTACTAATATATTTTGCATGAGACACCAAGAAAAATCCCAAATACAGCCTCTTCATTCAAATACCATTTAGCAAGGTAAGATAGTCAGGAAGGCTTTTTGTGAAGTACCTATATTGTAACAGGATGTTCTAGAAAGTCCAGGTTCACATCCAAAATTAATCCCAAACAAGAGAGAGGGCGATCAGACTAAAGCATGTATGAACAGACTTTGATTTTTACAGTTTGTAATTTAACATCTTTATTCAAAATGTGTTATTCTTTGAGATAACATTTAAACCACTCTTGTTACTTGTGAGTTCTTGGTTACTATTCATGATTACCTGGCTTTCTTCTTTCACAAATCTAAAAGATTATAACTTTTTCATAATATGCCCCTTTCCAGTTTGGAATCATTTAAACCAAGTTACGAAAAATTCTTAATGGCATGGGAAAATATTTACAACACGATGTTAAGTGAAAGAAAACTGATAAATGCAGTATAACATCTTTACTTTAAAATGCAATCTGACCAAACCCCTAGATCCAACTATCATTTTATAGGAAATACAGAGAAACATAATAAACACTAAAACAAAAATCGAGATTGCAGCAAAGTCTAGGATAAATGACCTAGTTTTTTCTGCAAATCATTTGCCAGGGAGGAAAAAAAGAAATGGAAGACAACCCTGTGATTAAACAGGTTTAAGAGGCATATCAAGCAACCACAATGCATAGACTTATTTGGATTCCGAGTCAATCAAACTGTTAAATACACGTATGTCATTATGGAACAATTGAAAATATAAACACTGACTATATATTTCATTATTTAAAAGGTACTGTTCTTTAGGTGTGATAATGGTGTTGCTTGTTTTTTAAGAAGCAGTAATTCCTAAGTAAGGTGCTGGCCCTTGTTCTCAGCATGCTCAACACAGTGCAGCTTCCTCTGAGGTTGCCTGGTCCACCTTGGGCGTAACTAGCAACTTCATCTCCCAAGGAGCTGTGCATCCCACTGCCCTGTGCTCAGGGCCCACTAGGGGTTGGTTGTCTCAAATCAGGGGTCCAACCAACACAGACCCTGCTTCCCACGGAGATGTGATCCTCAAGTGGCCCGATTGGAGGAGCTCAGGTTATATGTCTAAGCCGTCCTTGCCCACCAAGAACTTTCCTCTCCAGTGTATCTGGGCACATCGCAGGTTGGGTACCACTGCAGGATGACTCCCACATCAAAAATAATGCAGTGGAAGCTCACAAGGATGATCCCTAGGCCTGAACTACCAACACTATGTCACACTTTGTTGACTACAGTCTATGTCACTGAATTCACATAGAAGACTTATGGATACATTTTATTATGTTCAACAAAGGGGATGCAGTTAAGGGAGTTACAGTAAGTGAAAGCCAATTTCCCTGAAACATTAACTCTGATCAAGAACTCTACTCCATTCCCAGAGACTGAAAGGCCAACCAAGGCATTTGAAGGTCAGGTCCTTGTGCAGCGCCTCGTCAAGTTCACTGGCCTCACTCACACAGGATCACAAAGGGGTTGAGCCTGTTAGTTACCTAACTGTTAGATAAGTGTGTAAAGAAAAGAATGTTGGTGCATTGTAAAATCCTTCAAATCAACCCCAAAGTGTGGATCATGAATTCACTGGGAGCTCAACAGAGGACTCAATAGAGATAGAGGACTCAATAGAGATAGAGGACTCAATAGAGAGCACATGCTCTTTCCTGTGTTCCCATGAGAGAAGAGCTGATTCAGACAATAAAAGAGTCTACTGTGAACTGGAAACCTTAAAGGTTGTCTGCTTCAACCAATCATCTAACCTAGAAAAGTCAAATTTTAATTTCACGCAGTGTTGAAATTTTTAAACTAGCCCAAGGTCGAAGTGGAACCTGCCTAGACCCCAGCATTTTTGAAACAGTACAATATCCATGGGACAAGCATCAGTACTACAACTCGGTCTGTACCCAGTTAACACACTAGGAAATTAGCAAGACTTAAATTATTTCTTGGGGTGTTTCATTTAAAAATTGCTAATCATCATATACTCTGGTTTCTCTTCAGATCGCATAAATCTTTCTCCTTTTAAAAATTGTTAATCACATCTAGGCTGAGAAAAGACCAACTTTGCTTAGGAATCAGGTTCCTAATTGGGCACTCGACTTTGACAGTCAGCTCTACCTCTGCATTCACATCTTCTACCTGGAATTCCCTTCCTTCAATTTTTCAAGCCACAGTCTTTCCCTTTCCTGGACAATGCATTAAAACCTCCCACTTCCAAGATTATATAAAAATAATGTTAAATTTGACCCCTAACACTACAGCACTCCCAAGAACCTAATGAAGTTGTATAATTACTACTAAATTTCTATAAATAATATAGAAATTTGTCTTGTGTTTTCTTCAGACTATGTTTCACTGATTTAATAAATGGTTGTAAAACAAGCTTAAGTTTGGCTGCTTATTAAAAAGTAAACAAATTTCATAGGCACAAAAAAGTCACTATTCAGTAGAATGGAAGCAAAATCTATTCAAAAAAATTGAAAGCAACACAATAATACAGTCTCGTAACATATTACAGGAGCAAACTATTAAAAACTCTAGGATGATATTAGTAAACTATATAATCACTAAAGTGTTAAGGTCATATGGCTTCATTAAAAAAACAACAAAAAACACCACAATATATTCCTTGGTGGATATCTAAGCCACTCTCTCTACTAAGATAAAACAGCTTAACATTTCCTTTAATATTTTGACAACTTTACACCCACTCACCTAAACTCATTTTATGTTTTTCTTGCTGTTTATTCTATCCATATTTCTAGAGGATAGGTTTTCTTTGATATTCCAAGACCACGTCTCTCTGAAAACAAGTCTTCTCTTAAACCAAACCTGAAGAACATGGTCATTCTGTGCCCAGCTCTATTTTTAAGTTATTTTAAAACAATAGTCTGATATGTTTCCAAAAGGCTCTTAGAAAGGAAACGTGTCATTTCTTTCAGGGCCTACATAAATGTTTTCCCAACCTCCCCATGCTGCCAATATTCCTGTGAAGAACTCTACCATCAACCTCCTTGCCCTCTAGTCAGAGAAGGATTCACATGTAGCTGCAGTATCTTCTCTGGGTAGACAAGGAAAGGCATCTCTATGCAATGTTATGTATACACTAGAGGCCCGGTGCACGAAAATCCATGCACTGGGGGGTGAAGGAGAGCCCTCAGCCCAGCCTGGTCCCTCACAGCTG